CTCCCAGGCCCTCAGGGAGCCCCACAAGCAAGCGCTCCTTTCCATCTCAGCCAGGGTATAAGGTGGCCTCAGCGCCTGGCCCCCGTCACTACATGCCACCAGTCCATCTCCCCCAGGCACATCTGCAGGTGCCGTGGGCAGAGGGTGCCGATCCGGGAGGCTCCTGACAGCGGTGCAGTAATCAGCCCTTCTCCATCACTGCTAATAGCATGTTTAGCTTGCTGACGCCTCTGTTTGCCTGGTGCCTCCCACGGCTAGAGCTGAGTCTCAGCTGCCTGGGGCAGGCAGCCGGGCTGCCTTGCTCCTTGCAGTGTCCTCACCCAACAGCCTTATTTGGGACCCTGGACCACATCCACACCCCAGGAGCTCCCACAGGTTCTGGGGCAGTGGTGGGGTCTCCCGTGAAGCCCTGGTTGGAAGCAGGTGGTTTCCTGTGCACGGTGGGCTCGCTGAGGGCAAGACCTCCGCCTCGCCTTCTACCCCTCCTCCCCCCCTCCCTGCAGGCCCCTGGGGCGTCTCCTCTTACAGATCTGGCCACCCAGGTGCCCCTCAGGCCCAGTCACTCCCAAGATTCCGCCTACCAGGTTAGATGGAAGTGCAGCTCACAAATCCCAAGAATTCCAGCCTTCCCCAAAGCAGGGGACAAGCCCCTTCTGCATGGCATGGTCCCCATCCTCGTTTACAGGCCCCTGGCCTCCCTCTGGGGCTTGGCTCCTGCCAGGGTTTCTGCTGCGCCATACTTGATGACCACCAGCCAGGCAGGAGGCAAAGTCAGGGGCAGGGGGAGCACTAGCGTCTGCCCATCACCTGCCTTAGGGGGCACAGTAAGTACCTTCCTCTGTGTTGCTGGCCCGCCCCCGTTTTTGCCGTGTGCCCCCCTACGGAGTCCTGTTCATGGGGACCTTGCTGTGGCAGCAGCACGGCCCGGAGGGCACTCAGTTGCTAATGCCACGTCAGCCCATGAAGTTTGCATCCTCACGTCCCTTCCCGTTGCTGCTTGAGGAATTCTCCCACTTTGCCACCACCGAGACTATCCTAAATACACTGCTGATGGGCACATCCGCTGCCCCCTCCCTGCAGGCCGTCTGGCTGGTCCCCACTGTTTTGCTCTTTAAATAATGTTGCTATAAACAGCTGTGCACGTATAGCTATTTTTCCCTTTGCAATTATGTCCCTGGGAGGAATTCCAAGCAGTGGGATTACGGGGTCAAAGAGCGTGGCATATTTATGGCCCCCTCATGGGATGGGGCCCGCGGAACTTAGACCCCAGTTGTCCTGTGCTCCCCATGGTTTACATCGGGCAAGCACCCACAGCAGCCCCTTCCCTTCAAGACTTGGGGTAACCCTTGCTGCCTAGACGTGCCCTCTCCAGCTCCTACCCGGTTGGTGGGGGGTGCGGGGCAAGGGTAGAGGCGGGATGGAGAGAGCTGGTGGATGGACCAGACTGTCCTTTCTGGTGGCCTCTCCAGCAAAGCCTGCACCCTCAGTTGTGAGGGGACCCCTGTGCTTCAGCTGACACCCATCTCCCCTCCTTCAGACCTGAGTGTGGTGGCTCTGCTGGGGGAGAAACAGCCCCAGGAGCTGGTCTCAGAGCAAAAGGTCTGTACCACTGTAGACAACGGGTCTGAGCCCCCCCTGCCTCTGCCTCCACCTCAGCTTCTCTTCCTCAGCTCCCAGACAGTCCGTCTCCATCAGCAGCTACAGTCTTGTAGGCCCCTGGGAGGGGTTCACATCGCCCCCTGCTGGAGAACCAGGCTCCCGCTGTTGGTGGGCAAGGGCGTAGGGTGCTTGCCTAGTTCGCGGGGAGACAGACTCACAGACTTTGGTGTGACTGTGCTCAGCGAGTGCCTGCATTGTCTGGGGACCTCAAGGCTTCCACTGCCATGCAGTGGTGCTGCAGGAAGAGGGCCCCTGTGTCTAAGAGCAGGCCGAAGGGAGATAGGGGGCAGCTGGTGTTCCCAGGTCACTTGGCTCTCTCTGGACCTCCTTTCCTTGCTCTTCTGCTTTCAAGGCCTGTATTGACAAGAGGTTCTGGGACCACGGGCTTCCGCAGGATGGGCTGAGTGAGCTGAGGGGCCTAGGTTCCTGAGCTCACCCAGGCTGGAGTCAACAGCTAGGATCCCTCCTGCTACACTGTCTCTGCCGCTCCCCCACTCTGCTGTCTTGCTGGCTGATGAGGGAGACAATGGCGGTGGGAGCCAGGAGGTGTGTGTGGGGAGTGTGCGTGGGCTGTGCGATTTTCCAGGATAGGCAGGCATGCGAAGGAAAGGAAATTGTTCCGTCTGAAATCTCAGCATTCTCCAAAGCTGGCAGGCAGACTGCTTCAGGTCTGGGGAGGCAGCAGCCAGGCGGGCTGGGGCTGAGCGCACTGCAGCCCACAGGCCATCTTCATGTTGCCCGTGCATGTGTCATCCCACACAAACAGCCGTGAGACCCACTGCTCCAGCCACCATCATGGGGATCTGAGGGTCTGCTGACCCATGCAGGTCCCAGGACCAACCACTGGGACAAAGCTAGGGCTTGGACGCAGGCCTCTGGACTCTGAATCCATACCTTGAAGAAGCCGTGTCCCTTCAGGTGAGGCCAGGGAAGACCACAGGTGCAGACAGTGGCTGCGGCTCCTGTTCTGGACCCCAGGCACGGTGTGCCAAAGGTGCCAGCTACCTCATCCCACTCAGCTTTCTCCTTCTAAACTGGGTTCTAAGGCTGGGGTGGTGGCACATTCCTGTAATCTCAGCACTTGGGAGACTGAGGCAGGAGGATCACTGCAAGCTTGAGGCCAGCCTGGGCTACAAGGCCTGAACTACAGAGTGAGACCCTATCTTAAAAACCCCAAAACCTGGGTTCTGCGTTGCATCGGGAGGGAGGCTGCCTTAGAAGGTCCCCATGAGTCCTGGGGGGCAGGTATGGCCTCGACTCAGGTATGGCCATGGGACATGGTTTTGGGACAGGGACCACAAGAAGGGCAGCTACACTTTGAAAGCTCAGTGCAGGACATGCTACTCATAGAGTACGGTGACCATCCTGTCAGCTCAACAACCAGGCACATCATTCAATCCAGGGTGTCTTCACCGTATATAGTGCCTCCAAGAACAAGCTAGATGAGATAATAAAACTGTTGTGGCCATCACAGAGGAACAAAGGACAAACCAACTCCTGGCATCTCAATGTGCTGCTCATTAAAAGCACGACTTGCATTTTCTTCTGAGACCATCTGGGATGTAAAAGCTGATTTTGCTAAAAGTCTGTAAATTCACTTGGGCCTATGGATGCCCAAAGGGCAACTAACACAGGGCAGAGCCTGGCATCCTGCCTTCATTTAGCATCCGTTTCCTTACTCACCCAGCTCAGTTCTACATGGATCGGGTCAGGGATTCAGGGTGTCTGTCTATACTGATACAATAGGCTTTTACCCTGTCTCTCTCACCCCCTGGAGGGTAGCAAGAAGAGGCCTTTGCAGAGACATTTGATGGCCAGCTTTTACCCCTGGAAGAGGTGCCCGAGGTCTCCATTTATTACTCTAAACCTACCACCATGTTGATTCCAACAGAGTGTCCTTCAAACTAACACTGCCTGCTTCCCAGGACATGTGTCTCCTGGGAACCAGGTTGTCCCCCAAACCACAGGCAGCTGCAACACCAGAACAGAGATAGTGACTGGCCAGAGCCTAGATGGCCTTTGCAACCTCATCAAGCCCAGCCCCTTTCCTCTGTCAAGAGCCAGCCTGACTCACTGAGCAATGGTCCCCTCAGGTCCTCAAGCTGAAGTCTTTTCCCGTTAAAGCTTTTGCTTGCGAGTTGCTGTTGCCTCCGTTTTGATTTCTGTCACCATTGTGAAAGTAGCCATGCTGGCCAGTGACACTTTGAAACATGGGCAGAAGTTAGAGGAGCCTATGCATGGCCACTGTGGTTCTCTTTGCTTGTCTCTGAGACTCTGGACACACCTGCTGAGATGAAGTCCCCATCAAACTAGGTCATGGAATGACAGTGGGGCACACAGCCCTGCTGTGGACTCAGAGGAGCCATGTTGCATATGCAAGGAATGTACTTTTAAACCACTGAAAATGTTGGAGGATGCTTGTTACTACAGCCTAGCTGACCCTATCCTGATGAATACACCCAGCTGGCCAGGAAAATCTTTACCTAGGACTTTAGGATAAGGACATCTTGGGTGGGCTGGGCTCAGAAGACATAAACCCAATCTATTTCTTTCCACCATGGGATTGTAGTAGAAAAATCACATTTCAAAGAGAAAGAAGAGAGCAGGTACATGTGAGAGATGGAGAGGCCACCTCCGCTGTTTTCTTTCTTTCTTTTTTTTTTTTTTGCGGAACCGGGGATCGAACTCAGGCCCTTGTGCTTGCCAGGGAAGCATTTATTCCACTGAGCCATCTCTCCGGCCCCCCCACCCCTGCTGTTTTCTGTTGAAGATCCAGACACTTAAAAATCCCTTGTGTTGGGCAGAGGATAATCCCAGGAGGCTGGGAAGCTGGGGAGGAGGATCACAGGCATGAGCCCCAGTGGAGCAATTTGGTGAATTAGCGAGACCCTGTCTATAGAAAAGGTCTGGGGTTGTGGCGCAGTGCAGCGGTCCTGAGTTCAAGCCCAGAAGCGCCCCTCCCCTGTGGTTCTATGAAGCACACCCCCTTACTGTGCTGCCCTGGGCTGGCTGGTGGTGTTCTCAGCCAGGAGGCCTGATGCAGAGGCAAGAGACTGGAGTCAGCCTTTATTTTAAAGGAGAGACAGCTGAGGCTAAGGGCAGTTAAGGGCTTTTTCCGAGGTCCCTGGGACACTGGAGGCTAAGAGTCAGTCTCTCCCTTTCCTGGTAAAGATAGAAATAGGTCGTCCCTTCTCCCACTCCCCACCCCACTGTCCGAAAGCAACTACTCTTAGTAATGGGTGGGTGTGGTTGTTTGAATATTCCTGTCCCCCATAATTCATAGGTGACAATCTCACCCCCAGTGGTGGTGCTAAGCAGTGTGACCTCTTGGAGCCCGAGGAGGCAGCTGGCTCCTTGCTCCCAGCAGAGGTCACAACTGGAAGGTGCAAGTCCTCCCAGATCCCTGCTCTGCTAGGATCTTGATCTTGGACTTCTGAACCCCAGAACCGTGAGTGACCTGTCCTGTTATCAGTTACCTACCACAAGATATTTTTCGATAGCAGCACAAACACATGACAGTAATGAGCATTGAATTAGGCTTTTAAAAATTGGCTAGGCCCAGGTGTGGTGGCACGAATCCTGGCACTGGGCTGAGGCAGGAGGGTCTCAAGTTCAAGGCGAGAGCACAGTGCGAGTGACACTCAGCCTCCAGAGGGCGGCCGGCTGGGAACGCAGCTCCTAGAGCTCTGCTCATACATCAGACTGTATACACTGCCCAGTTCTAGCTGTACCTGGCTAGCCACGAGAGACACCAGGGCAGAAGCCGTGAGGGCAGCAGGGGCCACTGGAACTCTCAGTGTACCCTGACACTGAGGGCTGAGGTCAGGAGGTCCCCCAGGCAGGGCTGACTCAGGACTTGGGCAGAGCCTCTGGGGCTCCTGGCAAAGCTAACAGCCCTGTGTGGCCAGTGGCCCCAACATCAATTCCTGGCTTTTTTTTCAGTAAAAATCTGCTTGCCTAGCTGGGCATGGTGGTACACACCTGTAATCCCTGTACTTGGGAGGCTGAGGCAATAGGATTTCCCCTAGTTCAAGGCCAGCCTCGGCTACTTAGAGAATTTAGGACTAGCCTGAATTACACAGTAAGACCCTATCTCAGAAAAATATAAAAGGAGGGGGGACAAGAAATCTGGTCTTCTGTGGGGAAATCTGCTCCCCTTCTCTGGCCCAGTGCTACCCCATTGATTCCAGGGTATGCAAACTGCTCTCAACACCTTCCTGTCCCATACACTGGGACAGATGGGGGAGGCCCCAGTGTGGGTTGGGGGTGACACACTGACTTTCGCCATCCTGATGTCACACTTGAGCAGCTGCTTTCACCAGCTCGGCAGACGGACCAGGAAGGAGGCAGGGCTGGGGAAGAGAATCCAGGGCCCCCGGGGCCTGCAGGCTACAGTGTGCAGGAAGCCAAGACATGAGGCAGGAGGCAGTTAAAGGAGGGGACTGAGTTTGCAATTAACAGGCTTTGGTACTCGTAGCAGATAATTAACAGATTAATGGGCTGTGAGCCAGGCTGCTGCCTGCCAGGCTGGGCCAGGAAGAGGGCAGGGAGTACAGGCTCCGGAGGCCCCAGAAGGAGAAGGAATCTTTGGGCCTGAATCTTTGGACCCTGAACACAAGTGGTGGTCATGAGACTCAGCAAGGACAGAGTGCGCAGGCTGGAGGGCTGGCAGTGTAACCCTACTGTCCTTTGTTCATGAGATCTGGGGCCATGGTGCTGACCCTCTGGAATCTGCATGTCACCTGCGTCACCAGTTGTCACAGTGGTGTGTACAGGGGGCAATGCTGCGTGCTGAAGGGGTGGGAGGAAGGACTTTGACGTTAGAGCTTCCTGAGTCAGATCATGCCTTCCCCTTTCCAGCTGGGCAGGCTCAGCTGGCAAGCTATGTGCCCAACACCTAGCAGTTTGCAAGGGCCTGCTAGGAGTTTGTACAAGGGCCACTCTCTCCCTGAGGATCACCAACCTGAAGCTCAGGGACCTGCATGGAGCAGCTGTTGCTGCCTGCCTGGGATGTGCGCGAGGGGAGAGGGAGGTCATCATGGTCCTGAGATTGCAGAGCTACCTGTGACAGCAGCATAGCCCAGCCTGTCCTGTGACACAGAGACTCCCAGAGACTAATCTTCATCCACAAAGCAGGCTGGATGACTGGATGATCCAGCTTTAAATGAAGAAAGGTAGAGAGGTTAGGTGAGATGACACAGAAAAGGCTGAAAGATATTCTTGGCTCCTGGACCCCACAGCCCTCCCCAAACAATCCATTCATCAAATGAATAGCAGAAATGTTACCCTGGGCCCGGGTCAGAGGCTGGGGACATTTGATGAGCCCTCATCAGGGCTAGGTGAAGGCTGAAACATCCAAGGTTGAGCCCACGTGGGGATGGGCAAGGTCTGGTGAGGCCTTGTGGGAAGACATGGGTCACTTGGGGCTATGCCTCTGAGAAGGCCATCCTGCCCCCAGTCCCCTTCTCTCTCACTCTCTTGCTCCCCTCCTGCTTCTTGGCTCCCGTGTTTCTGCCTTGGGCCAGCCAACCATTGATCGAATCCCCTGAAACTGTGAGTCCAGATAAAGCTCTCTTCCTTCATGCTGTTTTCCTATCACTCTGAGGAACAGCTGACTGATACGCCCCCTGCGGGATCACATTTCCACAGGAGCGTTGGTGGGGCTGTTGGCAAAGCTCCTCTCACGGTCTCCTCCTCTGCTCCACTCCCTCGCAAAACTGCTTCTGAGTCCGCCCATATCCTCATGGAAGAGGACCAGGGTCGAGGCTGCAGAAACAGCTGCCTCTTCGCCCTTTGTTAGCTGTGCCCTGCTGTTCCTGTTTGGGCTCTGAGATCAAGCCCAGTTTTTCCCATGGCTGATCTCATTCCTCCTGGAGGTTCTGAGGCTCCATGCCCAACGCCCAACACCCACTTCTGTTTGCTTTCCAAAAACGAAGCCTTCTCACCCGCTCTGCGGTCTGCTCCCTGCCCTGAGTCGCCTGGTTCTGTCAAGGGATGTGCTCCAGGCAGCACATCGTGGGACTTCCTGTGCATATCCCATCAAGAGTCGTTCCCCCTTCAGCCCACTGAGGTGTCACCTCTGCCACAGAGCCAGCAGTGCCTTTGACTGGGGGGCCCCGTGGCTCAGCCCACAGCTCTGGGCTTTTAGATGCACCAGCACAGGCAGGAGTGGCCTCCCGTCCACACAGCATTCCTGATTAGGAAAGAACTCAATTCTCACACATCAGCAGGGGTTGGAGGCTGTTCTTGTCTCTGTCACGAATGAATCTCTTTTCTGCCTAGTGTCACCTGCTGCCACCCTTACAGCTTAGTGTAGGGACTAGGGCTGTGGCTAATGAGTGCTTCAAACAGGGTCAGAAAATCCGAGGTGCTGTATCTTACTTTCTTGTCTCTGAGACACCCACCACCCACAGGTCCAAGGAGGGGAGGTTTATTTTGCCCCATGGTCAGCATGGGGCTCCAAGGCAAGGTAGCATGGCAGAGGGGCCTGGCAGAGGAGAACTGCTTGCGACACGGCAGAGAGAAATCAAGGAGGAGGAGGGAGGGAAATGAACTCTCAGGCCACGCCCCAGTCACCCTCCTCCTCCAATCAGTCTTCACTTCTCAACATCACATTCAGCTGTGATGGGTCCTGGGTGGACTGACGCACATCACTGCCTACTGACACAGTCCCCTCCCCCAAATCCCACCCATGTACACATGAGGCATTGGGGGGCATAGGTGCAAACCAGAGCACTGTGCCCCTGCCTCCGGCAGACTCAGGTACATAGCACTTTATGCAAAATGCCTTTAGTCTGTCTCTAAGACTTGCTGAATTCCTAACAGTTTCAGCATTGCTGGAGAAATCGAAGTCCTAAATCTCCTCTGAGATGTAAGGCAAACTCTTAGCTGCAGGCCCCAGTACTTGAAAAGAAAACCATACAAAGGCACAGAATGAGCATTCGAACCCCAAAAGGGAGGAATGGGGTGACGGATGGGAAAGGGACTAAGCACACAGGCTGGAGAGCTGCGCCCAGTGGGCTGAGTTATGGGGAGCAAATTCTGTAGGCTGTCCCTTGTGAGCTTGGCACCCCAAGGCTCTCTGCTCAAAGCAAAGTCCGGCTAGCAACCTTTGTTCCCTCCTGCACATCCAGGTTCAGGGCTCAGGATACGCATATCCTTGGGCCACTCTTCTACCTTCTGGTTGCAGCTGAGCTGCAAACTGATTTGTTCAGGAGACGGAAAGTGACAAAAGTCAGGCCAGTCAGAGCACGTCTAGGACGTTCTGAAATGAAAGGGCTTTTGGTAGGGCTGTGGTGAAGCTCACATACAAGCTCAGACAGCTGCCACCACTGTCGCCACAGAGGGAAGCCGGGCTGAAAGGAAAGGGTCCTGCAGGGGACAGCAATGACTGACTCACAGAGAACAGAAACCAAACTGCTTTGCAGAGAAAATATTGCAGAGCAGTCACATCTTCTTGAACTTCTGGGTCAAACCATACCTGAGTCCCTCTCTGGTTCTGACTTTGCAGTTAGGTAAATCCACAAATTCCCTGTATTAGCCAAGCTATTTGAGTTGGTTTTTTTTTTTTTTGCTATTTACAAAAGGAAAATTTGACATAGTGGGTCTATAGTAGTAAAGTAGTATTTGATCACCTGAAGTCTGTTCTCAGCCAGTAGCCCCTCCCCTTGGGTCCTCAAACGAACACTCATCTGCCCCTGGGTCTCAGGGCCTGTCCTGCCTCAGCCTCTCCCTGCCCAGAGTGGTATTCAGGAGGGCTGGTCAGTTTTGGTGAGGCCCTGCTCTAACTCGATGGCTGAATTCACAGGTGAAGAGACACAGAATGAGCTGGAACGTGAGATCCCCTCATGTAGGAACTTGAAATAGGACTTCAGAGGTGCAAGCAGGCTATAGTCTATGGGAACTCAGATGATAGAGAGGACAAGAAGGTGCAGGCTGCTGTGGGTAGAGGCCTGGGGGGCAGCGGGCTCTGAAGGCTCCAGTCTTTCCTGAAGGCCAGCTCTACTTTTGCACATTGACCTGAGACACAAATCCCCACATGCCTTAGTTTCCCTGTAGACAACCAAAATGATGTCCTATGACCATAAATCAAAGGCAGCTGGCCAGGCGTGGTGGCACGCCTGTAATCCCAGCACTGCAGAGGCCCAGGCAGGTGGATCGCTGAGAGTCTGAAGTCAGCTTGGGTAATATCACAAGACCTTGTGTCCAAAATAAAGGAATAAGCCACTCTCCCCAGTCCTGCACCTGCCTGACTTTTCAGCGTGAAAGGAAAACATGAGAACTGCTCTTGGAGTTATTTCTAAACAGAAAACACCTCTAATCCTAATGTGACAAATGCATAGGATGACCTGTATTTAACAGCTCTATCGATGAAGAAACTAAGTTCTGTGTCCAGGTATATTTCACAGCTCCATTAATTTGGGCTTGATTGAACCATTTACTTTATTC